CGGGCGGGTCGGGGCGGTACCGGGCCGTGATCTTCGCGGCCATGTTCGTCGGGTACACGCTGTACTACTTCAACCGCAAAACCTTCTCGTTCGTCATGCCCGCCGTCATGGCCGAGGTGCCGCTGGGGAAGGACGAGCTGGGTGAGTGCCGGTGCCCGGGCCCCCCCCCGGGCCCCCCGCTGCCCTGCCTGCTCGGTGCTGGCTTTAACGGGTGAGCAGGTCGCCGTGCCGCCCGGCTGAGGTGCGTCTCGGGCTCTGCCCCGCCGCAGGTCTCATCACCAGCAGCCAGTCCGCAGCGTACGCCATCAGCAAGTTTGTCAGCGGTGTCCTCTCCGACCAAATGAGCGCCCGCTGGCTCTTCTCGTCCGGCCTCCTGATGGTGGGCTTGGTCAACGTGGTCTTCTCCTGGAGCTCCACCGTCACGGCCTTTGCTGGGCTCTGGTTCCTCAATGGCTTGGCCCAGGGACTGGGCTGGCCGCCCTGCGGGAAGATACTGAGAAAAGTAAGTGGTTTGGTGGAAAAGGCGAGGGGGAAACTTCTCACTTCTCTTCCTCTAAGCTCTCCTGGCAGCAGGTCTGTGCAGACCACGTTGCAGGAATGCTTGCTCTGAATTCAAAGGAACCTGCACCTATTCCTGCCTCCTTCAAACCAAGGAGGTCGAAACCACTAGCTGTGCTTTCTTCTGCCTGCAGAGCAAGCTTCCGTGCACAAGGTTCTGCTGCTTCTAGCAAAGATTCAAAAAGTTGCTCAGCCCTTGCATTTATGCGCCTCAATTCTAGCTCAGTTTGATAAGTAACATCTCCTGGTAGCAGACCTTCTCCACTGTAAGAGACATCATTTGTCGGAATCCAGTATTTTCAGCGTGCAGACAGAGGTCTGCTCATCTCTTTGCCATGGTGGAGTTTTGCTGCTGGGCAAGGAGCGATGAGCAGAATTCCATCTGCACGCCCACGGAACTCAGGAATTGCAAATTGCAGGCTGCTCAGGTAGAAAACTGGGTAATGTACGGAGGAACAGCGTGAGTCGAGCCCCTAAGCTGTGTGTATTTGGGTTTTGTGACAATCTAAATGGAACAGATTGATTTCTACCTTAGGGCAGAAGGAAAGGAGGTCAGCTGTGTGCTAACCTCTCTTGAAAGGTGTAAAATCCAGGAATGCACGTACTTGCGGGACGAGGGGAGATGAACAACTGCCTTGCCCTTCTGTGAGGCATCTAGCCTCATCTAGCTGGCAAGAAAAGGACCGTCCGGGATGGTTGCGTGCACGAAGGAAGTTCCCGAATAACGGAAACAATACACATAGCATTTTCTGAAGGCGTTTGGGAATGTAGCTCTCGGACATTTTGCTGCTGACAACCACCACCCAAGCGGTTCTGGCTCTGAGTGTACGTTGCAATGCAGAGCCGATCGTGGCTGATACTTAATGCAACAGCGAGTCCTAAAGTTACCCTGTGACTCTCTGTGTACCTGTTCACGATCCTGTGCCAGCAGACCTTTCCAGGGGGACGCTGTTCCTAGCAAGTGAGTACGCAGACCCGTGTGCCCTTAAATTTGCCTCTCCTGGCCCACGTCTCAGTTTCATCGTCTGTAAATGGAAATAACTCTGAGCTGGCTCGTGGTATGAGCACCTGTCAAGCTCCTGTAGCTGACGCTTGCGTTACGTTTGGAGTTCCCTGCGTGACTAAGGTAGCAAAGAGTAGGCACTGCCTTTACCTGCTTTTGTAGATCTCGGTCTGAATTGCCGCGAACCCACAGCACGGGCCTCAGTTGAGGATTTTTAGGTGCAGCATCACTCTCTTTCTCAGACCTCATGCCGTTTTTCTTGTTGTTGCACAGTGGTTTGAGCCTTCCCAGTTTGGGACTTGGTGGGCAATCCTGTCTACAAGCATGAACTTGGCTGGAGGCTTAGGCCCCATTGTCGCTGCTCTCATGTCTCTGAACTACGATTGGCGCATGACTTTGTCCTTCTCTGGCTTCATCTGCGTGGTTGTCTCTTTTGTTTGCCTTGTCCTGATTAAAAACGAGCCGTCGGATGTTGGGCTACCCAACATTGAACAAGGAGCCAAGAAAGGGAAGAAAGGTGAGCACGAGACTTCACTGTAAGCGGGCAGGCGCGGGAGAAGGTGCGGTGCCTTCTGTCTGTGTTCTGGTGCAAATGTGTCGGCGCTCAGTGTACTGAGACCTCCATCCTTCCCGCTTCCCGAAATCACTGCTCGGCGGGATGTGTGTAAGGGGTTGTTTTCAGCAGCCTTATTCTGGTAACTGTTGAGCAGCAACAACTTCTGTTGAAGTTATAAATCGTATAAACCAATCCCCAGTGTAATCTTGCAGGAAGGTGCTGGTGTACAGGCTTCTGAGACTGTCACAGCAAAGTGCAGCAGAGCAGAGGAAGAGCCTGCCCGCCAATCAGTTCTGTTCCTTGGCCTGCCAGTGACCGTGTGTGCATCGCTGAGACGCTCGCGGCTGGCTGTTTCATCTCCCCGTCTGTCTAATGTCTTCGTACTAACAGTGCCCTCGTTTTCTTGGGGCTTTATTTGCTTAGACTGTGAGCCGAGTCTCCTGGGGGGTACTGGAGAGAGAGAAACAACGCAACAGCGGGGAATGCTTCCTTAAGCCTGACCTTCCTCTCCTCCATGTTACCAGAGGACAGGCAGTTCTCCCCTCACCCCGCCGTGGGTTCTCTTGACCCCTGGCTTGCGGTGGACTCTGCTCAGTGTTTTCTGTCCTAACCTAGGACATCTAGTTAGTAAATGTTTGTTCAGACCACTGAGTATGGTGCTTCTCTGAAAGCAGAACAGGTAGAGGGGAATTGCAACAGAGGTTTGCTGTAGGATTTTAAAGGCCAGTGGAAACTCAGCCTACCTTCCACGCTGTCCTGCGATGCCTGTGCTGCTAGACTTGAGCTCTTTGTGTACCAAACCAATATTGCTTCCCCAGAGTGTTTTCTGGGGAGGGTAGGTTTGTAGGCGCTCTTGGGTGACTGATGCAAAAATAAAGGTAGCACCTGAAAGTCAGCATCTTTCTTTGGGTCTGTGTAGTGGCTTTCACAGGCAGAGCTTAAAAGCACTAGCGCAAAGTCTGGAGAAGCAGATCATTTTTCTAACAACCTTTGTGAAGGGTTTATTGGCAACCGCAATACAGAAAATTACTGGGAGTAGTGTTTTGATTATTCTTTTGAAATCTTTAATGAATGTGGAATAAATTGACAGAAAAGATTCTGAAATCACAGCAAACCCAGAACGAGGGGGAGGTAAAGCCATTCACTACCAGTAGCTATGAATATCTCCCTCTGTAAGTATGTCCTTATGCATGAATCCTGCTCGCGGATGTGTCTGTAGTGCCACTGAGTCGGTGTGGTTCAGTAGCTGTGCTCAAGCAGTAGTAACGTTCCTCCTGATCTTCCTTGCAGGTTCCTCCAGCGAAAATAGCACTTTGACAGAGCTGCTGCTCTCGCCGTACCTCTGGGTGCTCTCAACAGGCTACCTGGTCGTTTTTGGAGTCAAAACATGCTGTACCGACTGGGGACAGCTCTTCCTGATCCAGGAGAGGGGACAATCCATGCTTGTGGGTAAGATGCAAAGCTGCATTTTTAAGCTTTGTGGCTGCAAGTTGGGAGGTGTGGCAGAGAGCTCGACTGGGTACAGCAAAAGGATGCAGGCACCTCCATCTGAGGGACTTGTTTGCTTACCTCCTACCTGTCCCTTTAGATACATGTAGTTATTGAAATAACTCACTGATGAAGTTACTGCATGCGCCGAGTGCCCCAGTGCTGTCTTGCGCCAGGGCCCTCCTGGGACTGGCAGACGGGCATTCCTGTACAAGGATGAGCTGGAGGGTCTTGTCCAGCAGAGCTGCTCTGAGCTCACGGTGAGCTGACAGCAGTTGAGCTTGGTCTAAAGCATGCAGCAGCTTTGCTGTTGTGACCGAACCTGATGGCCTGTTCTTTGCTTCACCTACGTTCTAGGTAGTTCCTACATGAGTGCCTTGGAGATTGGGGGTCTGGTAGGAAGCATTGCTGCTGGATACCTTTCTGACAGAGCGGTAGCAAGAGTAAGTAATCTGGACCCTCAGCTGTGCTGGGCAGTTGACACAGCGTCAATTTGAGCTGCTTCAGAATTTTTACATTTGTTTTTGGCTTCCTTCATGAGTGCTTAAAGATGATCTCCCCCCGCCCCGATACCTGCACTGGTAGTGGAGCAGAATGCTCCCCTTGTTGATGTTGCTCTGGAGATTCAGGATACCCAGAATGCAGAGGTAGGGAGCGGCTGCCTCACGCTAGAAAACAGCCATTCTCAGTACCACGTTTCTTTCTTCTGTCTTCCCAAGCTCTTCTTTCGGATGCAGGTCTGTGTCTAAACTACCCTGCTTTGAAATGGGACTTCTGAAAATCAGACCCATCTGATTTGTTAACCCATCTCTTTCCCTTCATGCGGAGGTGGGTTGGGAGGGACACGACCCATCTCAACAGCTTAACGAAGGTGCTCAGTCAGGGTGGTGTTGCCACTGCGTGGTACAACTGAGAAACAGGCCTGTACCCAGTCCTGCTGTGTGCATGAGGACAACTGCTGAACACCCTAGAAGGTGTTGGGAAATATGTATGCCGATGTTAGGGATTGAGATACGCCTGTCAGGTTTAAGATGTTTGATCTGTTTGATTTGTTGGCTTTACTGTGCTCTCCAGATTTCCGTGTTGAAAGAGATCTGGTTGTTAACAGTTGCCTTCCGGCTGAAAAAAACCCCGCACTAAAATCCAGTGGTGGGATCTGAAGCCAAATTCAGGGTGGAAACAGGGCGCAGTTGATAACCAAAGTATCATTCATCACTAAGAGCTTCTTGTTTAGCACAGTTTGACTGCGGGCAGGCCTTAAAGCAGACCAAGAAGTCTTGCTAAAAGGTGTGCTTTTGATGCGCCATCCATATTTCTGACTGGGCTGTGTGGACGGCGTTAGTTACTACAAGTATAAAATGGAAGGAGTCCTTCCAGTTTCCGACCCTCAGTTTCCCTTCCTGTGTTACAGGTGGGTCTGTCAAGCTACGGGAATCCTCGGCATGCGCTGCTGCTTTCCATGATGGCCGGGATGTGTGTGTCCATGTTTCTCTTCCGCGTCACAGTCACAGGCGATTCTCCCAAGGTAATCCATGCACGAGCAGCAGGCCATAAGTTGTAGGGATAGCCCTTTAATGGTGAGGAGCTTGATGAGAGGGAGCGTGACTGTTTTCTTCACCCTTCCCAAGAACTGTAAGTTTGCATTTTCTTTGTCTGCGCTACAGAGAAGCAGGCCAACTTAGTCTGGTTTGGACTGCTTCTGCTGCCTAAGTCGGCTTGGGTAGCTTGCGTTACCGGCTATAGTGTAGACATGACTCGCATCTGCCCTAATGGTTGCTAAATAAATGAAACGTCTTTTCTCCTTTCCTTTTTTTCTTCTTCAGGAAAATCACTTCTGGACTGTAGCCTTGCAACCTCTAGCTGATCTTACAGGCCTAAAAGAACATGAGGTTTCTGCCTTGCATTTTTTTCTCCCTCTGCCTGTTTCTGCTTTTGCTGATCTGCCTTTTTCCTGTCCTGGGAGGTTGGTTAGCACTCCAGAACTTAGAACCAGGGCATTGAGAAGATTACTGTAAGTTTTGTAAAAGAAACCTTTTCTTGTAATCATTTGATTACACTAACTGACTTTAAAAGTCTGAATATAAACTTTTTAAGTTCTTATATAGAAGGTTCTGAGGACGTTTGTTCATCAGGTAAAATGTATCCAGTTAAGGGGTCTTGTGAGCGAGGTCAGGAGGAATGATTCTGTTCCTGCAGATGCCTTCCTGCTTCACTTTGGCAAGTGTTTTCCTAACTCTTTGTTTCTGTTTCCCATCTGGAAAATGAGATGGCACTTACTTCCTTCTGGGCATCTTGAAATGGTGTTTATAGTTCAAAAAGCATGCTGTAATCTTGAGATGGTCAAGTTACCTATCCGTTTTTGTTCTTTCACAGGTGACTGATAAATTCTGAGCCAGGTAGTTTTCTTAGAGCGTAAGCTAACACTGAAGTTCTGACTGTTGGGTTTTTTTGGTTTTGTTTCTGTGTTTGTTCAGTGACGTAGAGGTTATCAGAGAGTGGCTGCTGGCAAATAAAGATGCTCTGATCAGTCACTTGCATCTACAATGAGAACAGCTTTTACTTGGTCTCTCCAGGATCATTTTTAAAAGCGACTCGATTCACAGCTCTCCTGTGATTTCACGGGCTCATTGCCCATCTCTCTTCAATGTTCTGGTCCTCTCTTGCAAAACAGCGCATACTGTGTGTGCACGGTGTAGGGGGCAGAACTGTAGGAGCGAGGAGAGCTCGTGCTGGCCAACAAGACGGTGTGGTGGAGGTGCAGCTGGGCTGTGTGTATGCGGGGACTGTCACAGGCTTGCAGGCCAGGGAGCTGGTGTGAGCCCGAAAATGTCAAAACCCCCTCGTACCGTGCATAGGCTCTGAGATTTGTCAGCAGCTGCTGATTGACAGTGGTAAGATGCACAGAGCCTGTTTCTGATCTTAACTTCTTTTGACAGCTGTGGATCCTGACTCTGGGAGCTGTGTTTGGGTTCTCCTCGTATGGGCCGATCGCCCTGTTTGGGGTTATAGCCAATGAAAGTGCCCCTGCCAACCTGTGCGGCACCTCCCACGCCATAGTGGCCCTCATGGCCAACGGTGAGTAATGCCCGTTTCCCCAAAAACCAAACAGAACCCGTGTGTGTTCTTGATGAAGCGTGGTCTGGCCCCTGGGTGCCAAGTTACTGATCACGGGAAGTCACCTAAGAAGCAGAGATAATAGAGCTGGAAGCCTCAGGGATGCTTCCTGCTGTACCTGACAGGTTTTTGCCTTGTGCTTCAAGTTCAAACCAGGCCTGAGGAATTTTTATACGTGCAAAAACAAGTATTGGCAGATAAAACAGAGACACTCAAGCGTTGCTAGTTTTCTGTTTGTTTTTCCTTACAGTTGGGGGGTTTCTGGCCGGACTACCTTTCAGTACCATTGCCAAGCACTACAGCTGGGCCACAGCCTTCTGGGTAGCCGAAATCACCTGTACCGGTAGCACGGTGGCTTTCTTCTTACTGCGGAACATCCGCACCAAGATGGGCCGGATTCCCAGGAAGGCTGACTGAGGATGAGCTGCTTGGTGAAAAGGATGCTCCCACGCCGACATGAATGATGCTCGTTTTTTGTTTAACTGGCCTAGGAGTGAGTTTACCTATTGCTGCAACCTAGATAAAAATGTCTCAATTTCTCGTCCACTGTCACGTGCCTGGAGGGCACAAGGTTCCCGCTTCCGATCACTTTTTCCCTCGAGATGTGATAATTCAGCTAGTTTACATTTGCAGTGATTTTACCTCCTTCTCACAGCACTGCTGGTGAAGCAAGCAGGCTTCGCAGCCTGAGCTTCTCCACTAAAAGTACTCTAAAATGGCTGGCTTCAGGTGCTGTCACGTTTAGCTTTGCCTGTACTGTTCGTCTCGGCCATTAACTGTCAATTCAGCCTTGTTGTTCAGGGGTGCTGAAGCAAGCCTTCGCCACGTTCGTTCGTCCCGTCCAGCTGCTGTAAGCGCAGCTGTCTCGGTTTACTTAGGCGTGAGCTCCCTGCGTGCTCTCAGCCCTGGAACGGTGACAGAGCAGCGAATGACGATTATTACAGTTCAGCCTCACGGCTGACTTGAGAGCAGCGTGGCTTTAGCTTTACCCAGGATTAGCTGTTAGGAGCGAGGGTGGTGGTTTGCTCTGGACAAGCAGAACATCGATGCGGTGCTGTGGGAGGGCTCTCTGCAGCACTTGGAAGAATTAGGCTCGTGTCCAAGAAATTCTTGGCACTTCAGGGGAGACCGTTTAGAGAAGCTCCTTCTGTTGAACCGATCCTGCCCGGTGCGATTTCTGTGTAGTGTTAATGATTTGCAAGGGAGGCAGCTGCTGCCCAGTCAGCTTGTAGCGAGCACTCTGCAAATCAGCCAGGAAAATTGACCCAGCAGTAGGTATTGCGACAGCAGCTACTGCCGGCCCGCAACTTCTGCAGCTGGGTTTTGCGGAAACCTGTATCTCTAGCATTGGCTTGTATTTTTTCAGTACAAGGTGCGTAGTCTAGGATGTTTTCGGTCAAGAGCTGCATCTCTCACAGCTGTGGGCAGGGGCTTGGGCTACCTCCGAGAGTTGGCCTTAGCACAGCCGCCGCTGACAGCCAGCAGCCTTGCACCGCCAGGCCCAGCACTCTTTGCCATAAGTAGACTCAGGTTTTTAACTGGGATTTTGTTGAATATTCTTGGTTTTCCCCAAAAGGATTTACTGCTTTAGAGTCCTGGAAGAGGCAAGTTCAACTCGTGAAGAACCTGCACGCAGGTACTTTGCTGAACAGCTTGGTTGCAGGAGTAGGTAGCCAGCCTTAATTAAAACAATGGAAGTGAATTACATTTTGTACTTAATTATATGATCTTCTGCTATCTGTGAAATAAAAACGGAGCACGGTGACAAGGGCTCTGGTTGACTTATGGAGAACGGTGCAAGCAGAACTACCCAAACCTGCTTATCCTCTTGAGGTGCTACCGGCGCAAATTGACCCTGCCGCTGAGAGAAAACAAACAGCTATCCACCTCTTTAAGGAACGTTTATTACTTCTACACAGAAACCCTCTGCAAAACTGTAAGCTAGAGCTATACAGGAAACATACATATGTACAATTATGAAACGACAGAAAACAATCAATTGCGGTAAGGCCACGGACCCGCACCTTAGCTTGCTTTCTTCACTCAAGGCCAGTGGAGCTGCAACAGCAGAACAAGCCTCTGTGGCCCAATGTAAACAGTAGTAACGAGTCCGTCTAAGGTAAATTTCACAACAAAGGGGATAAAACGGTATCTTGGGAGGTAATGAAGCATGTTTTGGGGATACGCAGTCTCTGCTGTGGAGGAGAGAGCTCTGGGAGAGGCCAGCCGGGGAAGAGAGAGGTCCTGCTCTTTGGAGAAAGGAGTCCGTGCAACAGGCGAGGCTTTCTCTACGATCCAGGTCCGAAGGGTCCCGCTTTCTCTGCCACCTCCAGAGCAAGTTTCAAGTTCTGATCAAACAACTCGCATCTGAAACAGTCAGAAAAGTGGAAGGGGACGACTTTACCTACAGAACAGGCTAACCAAGACAGGATCTCCACATCCTTTGGCTGTGCATCCTTCAAGGAGAGATTCCGTAGGTCACAAGACAGCAACCTGACTGCTGTCAGGCTTGGCCATTAAGTAGGCCCTGCGTGGGCTCCAGGGTTACGTTAGGACAGCAGGGACTGTACCAAGGAAGAGCACCTCCCACTCCCCCAGCAGAGCAGCGCTGGAAAATGCACAGGTCAGTGTCCCATCCCTGCAGCAGCATGCTGGGTCTTCCCCCCCTTCCCTCAACCTCTGGGGCTGCTTTGCTACTTAGCTTAAGGGCTGTCGGCATTTGCTACTGCACAGGTAGAAACTGAGAAGCAGTTGCGGCTGCATTACTAAAAGTGGGCTTTTCCTTACCTGATTGGCATCTCCAGGGAGTAGAAAGGATTCTTCAGAGCAAAGTCAGAGTAAATCTCGTAGATCTTGCGGAGAAGGGAGTCTATCCCCGCCTGCCTCGGGTCAGCAAGAACCACGAATTTGATCCCTCGAGCCACAATGACAGAAGCGTGAGGAAGGCCGAGCTCCGTGACAGCCCCAGCAAAGCAGAGTGGTGCGGGGTGTCGGGGGCCAGACGGTACCTGTCAGCGTCTGGAAGCAGTGCAGCTTGAAGGCATCAGTCTCCAGCATCTCGATCCCAGAGCTCCCGACCTCGGGGGACAGCTGCGACCCAATGGC